GGCAGGGGGCGGGCGGCCCCCCCCCCCGCCTCTTGCCACCGCCCCCCATCGCATCCCAGCCCGCCCACCGCAGCTATAGGGCCCCCCCCGGGGGGGCTGTGAGGGCAGAGCCCGGCGCAGGATGGCGGCGGCGCCGGGCTCCCCGTTCCTCTGGGCGCTGCTCCCGCCTCTCCTCACCCTCTGCCTGGCGGAGCCCCCCGGCTCCCGGGGGACAGGGCTCAGCCTCCACCCGCCCTACTTCAACCTGGCGGCGGCAGCCGGCATCTCGGCCACGGCCACCTGCGGGGAGGCGGCTGGCGGCGGCGGCGGGCGGCCGGAGCTGTACTGCAAGCTGGTCGGGGGGCCGCCCGCCGCCCCCCTGGGCCGCGCCATCCAGGTAATGGGGCCGCCCCGTGGAACCGGGACACCCCCCACACTCCCCTCTCCAACCCCCGCCTTCCCCTGACAGCACCCTCCCCATCCCATGCCATCTGGGGGGGGTGTGTCACTGTGGTGTGTCCTTTTTGGGGGCGTCCCGGCCCCTCCGGGGGCGCTGGCCTTACCTTGGGGTGCGTGGCCTCCTAAAATCGAGGCGTCTGTAGATGCTGCGGGACCCCACGCGGGGAAGCGCGGAGGCAGGCGGAGGGGGCTTCTGCCCCACAGGTGTCCCGCCACCCTCTGGAGGGGTGTGTGTCCCCCCCCCCCATTCCGTCCTCGCTGTCACCCCCCGCCTGCAGCCCCGCAGCCGCTCCCGGGGATGCAGCGGGAGCCGCTGGTCCTGCCGGGGCACCGGGAGGTGGCTTTGGGAGCGGTACCCACGCGGGGTTTTGTGGTACCCACGCGGGGTTTGTTGTGTGGCTTCAGCGCTGGGTCCCGTGAGAGAGCAGCGTGAAGCTTCTGGGAGTAAAAGCAGTGAGGTTTTTTTGGGGCGGGGGGGGGGATGGATGGGGACGCACTCCACTGGTAACCTCCTCCCGGCAGAGTGGGTGTCTTTCCAGGGGTGGCAGGAAAGGTTGTCCGGTTGTAGTTGGGTGGCTTTGTGGCATTTTAGACATGCTGAGTGTGAGGCTTAGCATCTACACCTTGTGGGAGAAAGCTGGAGATTCCTTGGGACTCTGACAGGGAGTGTAAGCACGCAGCGCAGAGAGGATGGTGATGTTCTCTCCTAAGCACACAGCATGAGGTTGTTACACACGTTCTGTGCCGGTTGCAAGAAAGACAACAATAAATGGCAAGGCTGCTGGCAAAGGGTTAATGGAAATGTATCTTTCCTGTGGTAGAAACTTGTATGAACATGTCCTTTAGAGAGTAAGGAAGAAGTAACAATGCTACAAACTCTGTGATGTACTCCGACTGATGTTCAGTATCAGCTTGATCAGAACTTTGTTAGAGGGGGGACTTTCCTAAGGCTTCAAACCTTCCAAAGTTGTTGTATTTGTATTCTCTCTTAGTGGGAGGAGAAGAGAGCCAGAATTAAGCTGCAATTTGAAAGGGATTTGGAAAGCTTTAAGGTCCACTTTCTGACTCCAGGCAATACAGAAAGAATGCAAGTGAATTTTTAGCATCTTGGAAGAAGGATTAGCGTTTTGAAGTCTTATGAAGTGTTTGTATGTTTGACTAGTGGAATAACTCTTAGTATCTGCTTTCAGAAGAGGTTGCAATGGATAAGAGAGCTTTTCTTCTTGTTTTTTAGTGGGGACAGATGCTCAAGAGAGGGGGAGAGGACTAAGAGGGTGCAGTGTACGCGCTCTGTCTTGTGCCAGAAGGGAGCATGCACCATCACGCAGCCTGCCCTCACAGTTCATTAGGCAGCCACAGCCAGCAGTGTGCTTTGTCCTTAGCTTCTCTCTGCCTTGCTTCCCCCCACCACCACCGTGAGACCTCAGTTTACCTTACATCTGTGTAGTGCCCTCTGTCATAGAGAGCTCAAAGTGCTTTGGAGATTACAGGCTGAGTAACACACAGTTTTACTAATGGGAAAACTGCATCACAGGCATTACGTGCTTAAACTAAGGTTACAAAAAAAAAAGGTTGTGATGATCAGGAAACTGCTTGGTCCTCTGTTTCTAACACACCTCTGAAGTTTAGGCATCCCTCCCTCCATGCTGAACACCCATGTTTAAAGTTGCCTGAAACAACTGTGCCACCAGGTGAATAGCAAGACCGGCAGCATGCCATAGCCCACTGCTGCAGTGAAATCTCATACTAATGGAAATATAGAATTGTCTAGGTTGGAAGGGACACGTGCCTTGGAATATCAGAAGTCACAGCATAACAAAGATCAGCTAAGGCAAACATCAGATAAGCACCTCAAGTAAGCAGAGCAAAACCTGTTGTGTGGTGCACATGGTCATTGATGGCTTTTGTAATTGTTCCCTTTGTATACTGACACCCAACTGGAAATGAGGGCTTGCTGTATGTAGGAAGAGGCTAGGAAGGGGGGAGTTCCTCTTGTTAAATATTTGCCTTACGGGTCCTAGGTTAGAGGGCAGTTATGGTTCATGCCTGATGCAAGTTCCCAAAAGGAGGACTGATAGCTCAGCCCTGGCACAAGGAGGCATGTTGTGTCTCCTGCAGCATTTGTGTAAGCACGGGCACAGCAGCGTCTCTTTCCAGTTCTAACAAAGCCCCATTGAGATACATAACATGAATACTTCTGTGGTTTACCAGTTGTGGTCCAAGAAGGGTTGGAAAGTCTTTCAAAAGGCCAGGGAAATGCAGCCACGGAGAACGCGATAACAGCACAATGTCCGTATTATCCAGCCACTCCACCTCGCGAGTTCAAAGACACTGGAAATGAGAGAATCTCTTCTTTCATGGAAAAGTGGAGAGAAGTGCATTAAACTGTTAGAGAAGCTGAGCTTACACAGAAGGATTTTAAATCAGCATAACTATTCTCATGTTGTTTCTTAAGATTCTGAGTGAAGGTCACGTGGCTTTTACATGAAGTGATGGGTGTAATAGCCACCATGTCAGGCCAGTTCAAGGTAAAGCAACGCTGTACACTTGAGTCACTAATTTTTGGAGTCTCTGCAAGGGTGGATTGCAGCTGTTGCTCTTTAAGAACAGGGAAAATTTGGAAAGGTGATGTGAAGGGTGATCTTCATTCAGATGAAGGGAACAGGCAGCTCTGCTGCCAGTGCTATCCCAGGCACTGAAAATAAGGCAAAGAGAAGAGTAACCCCAGCTTCATTTCCTCTGCTCTTCCATTGGGCTCTCTTGTTCAGCTTGTCGTTTGATGATGTGTCTTTTAATGAAGCCTGTAGGACCTGGGAAACCCAGAAAGAGCGTTTGGATGTTGTTTAAAGCCCTTCCAAGGGCTGCTCCATGGGGTGGCCAGTCCCTTCACGGGCGGCTCAACCAAGGCTTGTAAGGCAGCACTGGACACAGTCTGTGGAAAGCAGTACGTTTCCCTTAGTTAGCACGTTGGCAAGCAGGATAATGACTTAATAAGAGCAGCGTTGAGTGAAGAGATGCACTGCAGCGTAATCTGTTTCAGCAGCTGATAGATGAAAGGCATGCCTGGCTCTGCCTGCCAGCAGTGTGCGGGTGTGAAGTTTAGCTGCATACCTGTCCTGCCCTGGCAGCGGGCGCAGATCTGCTAGGGATGGAGCCGTGAACAAATCCTTCATTGTCGTTGCTTTCTATAACTTCTGGGCAAGGCATTTTCACCCCTGTGTGTCTCTCTGATCCACGCCGGTGTATTTTGGCAAACTCCCTCATTGCAGTTCCAGTTTTCTCCTTCGCTCAGGAGAAGCAGGGAAGGGATGGTGACAAGGTCACTGGTGATGGCAGACCTGCCTGCCTGGTGATCTGCAGCCAAACTCAAACTAAGTCTCCAGGCCCAGTCTCCTGGAATGGAGACAAGCCCTGTCGCAGACCGGCTGAGCGTGGCGTGCCTGAGATGCTGCCAGTGGGAAGCAGGGAACGCGGCTCTGCCCAATAACTTGTTTTCTTTCATTATTTTTTTTTGTTTTGCTGTCTTGTTGGCAGGGTTGCTGGAACGTATTTTAAATAACTGAAACTCCAGCTGTTGTGATGAAATTCTTAGAATTATGTGTCCCAAAAGAAAAAAAGGTGGTATCTTGAGTTCAGATCAAGTGCTCTGGTATACTGAAATCACATAGGTGTGTGTAAGTGTTAATGCTTGCATTTAACACTCCTCATTGCTTTCTGTTCATTCAGCCTTTCTTCGAAGCTGTTTCCAGATCGGAGCTGAAACTACTGTGGCAGCAACTGTTCCCTGTGTATTTCCAGCCTGATCATCGTGAACATGAATTTAGATCTAAAGACAATGTTTCGTGCACGTTATGAAACTACTTAGGACAGTTTGTACTGTTGTAATACGTATGTCAGAACTCCAAGTATGCATTTGTCAGGAAAATCTTAACTGGGAGGAGGCTCTGATGTGGTGGTAACTGCAGTTGTTGGTGCACGGATTGATTTCTCAGTGTATTGATTTTGTAGATAGTGACACGATGGTCTTTGTCCTCACTGTGGAAACTGGCAGCGTTGCCTGTAGCTGGCACGGGCTGGTGTGGTGTCTGCTGCAATGAACTGTCACTGGAATGGAGTGACATTGCCACGGCATATTGTTGTCTGTATGGAAACCATCTTTTCTAATAGGGCTGGAGGAGAATTGTTTTATGACCGCAGATGTGGTTAACCAACCTGTGCAGATTTAGTAGGTCTCTAAACAACTCAAGAAGTCTCAAGAGTTAACCCTCAGCCAGGTTGAGGTTGAATCAGAGCAGCTAAGAGGAGCCATGACTTCTGGAAACAATGTCATATTCTGGGCTTTCTGGAAGAGTAGGATGAGGATGGAACCATTGCTAGATGCAAATACTGAAATTATTATTACTGATGCAAAAATATTCAGTGAACGACAACTTTCTGTATTTGAATGACACAAGATGGTGTATTTGTATCACATGAGAATGATGTAGTAGTTTCCAACCCATTAGTAACTATGGCAGATGTTAAACAAATTCTGCTGGAGATAAACATCTTAAAATCACCAAGCTTGCAAGACTGAACCCAGCAAGAATGTGAGGGCCCTAATGCTATTCCTTTATTAAAAGTGGACGAGTATGGTTGCTCCAGTTACTTCACACTGGTTAGTCTGACAGCAGCAACAAATAAAATAATGGCAGTTATATGGGATTCTGTTAATACTTAAAAGGAAGGAATATGCTTCATGCCAGGCAACATGGATTGTGGAAACAACAAAAGTTTTGTCACATCTTTTTGATGAGAATGCTTAGTTGATAAAAGGAATGATGCATGTATTACCTTCTTTAAAACATGGGGCCAACACAGTGTCAGGAGTTCACAGACTGAATGGATTAAGCAATGCTCCAACTGAAGTAACCATTAAGAGGGTACTGCCATTCAATGAAGTATCATTTTTCTTTGGGGGTTTTAGAAAGATCTGTGCCTGGCATAGTTTAGCATTTTCACTGATTATCTTCACCCAGGTGACTGGAGTAAGAAGTGAATGGGACAATAAAAAAATTCCTTAAATAACTAATAACAATGCTTCAGCACTAATCTTAGTATACTGTAAAATGCAGTTTCTTGAAGATAAAAATACTGCTTGTAGGGTAAGCCAAGATGCCAAATTAAGAGACAATTGGGTTTCCTGAAGTTTATTCATCGTTATTGTACAGAAGAGTACAAAGAGCTTTAGAGACTATAAAAGAGAGATTATCAGTGCATCTCCAGAGTGTGGCTTTAGTTGTGAACTGGAAATTGGGTGGTAACTTCTGCAAATGAAGATACAATGAGATTCTTTAAAGGGAAGCTGAAAGGGAACAGTCTATGGGATCCATTGCATTTGGATGGATCCCATTGCATCTATGGGATCCATTTTCCACAAGTATTTGTTGTTGAGAAGTCTCTGATTAAGAACGTATTATAGTGGCATGAAAAAAATGAAAGCAGTATTATAAAATTGTAACACCAAACTTATAGGCAAGTAACAGGGTATTTTTTTATGGTTTTACTAATATCAGGCTATGTACATATGTGGATATTTCTCAGTCTTGTAGGAGAATTTAGGATAATTTGTGTGTTGGTCTTAATCCAGTTTTCAGAATCTTTGTTTCATTCATTTCCTGCAGACAGCACTGCAGGCGTAATATAGGTATTTTCACCAAAGTATCAATAAATTCACTAATAAAGAAAGACTTCAGTTTCCTTAAGGAAATTTCTGAAATTTTAGTTTGTAACATAGAATTTAGTGTGTTTCAGGGTATAAATGTGTAATTTAATTGCCAGGGGAATCACTTATGCATTAGAAATTAAACTACATAAGGAGAGAAACAAAATTTAACCCCATTTTTAGTCAAAGCTCTAGTTCCAGATCTCAGTTAACAGCAGCATGCGTCTGCAGTGCATAAGATTTCAACTAAGACTATCTTTTTTAATTTATTGTGTTTCAGGGACAGTTTTGTGATTATTGCAATGCTGCTGATCCCAGTAAAGCTCACCCGGTCACCAATGCAATTGATGGCACAGAGCGCTGGTGGCAAAGTCCTCCTCTTTCTATGGGCTTGAAGTACAATGAAGTCAATGTCACTTTAGATCTGGGACAGGTAAGTGCATGAGCTGTTGTGTGAGGTTTGATCGTTTCTTGCATTTGTATACAAGCTTTGCAACTGGGAGAGATGTTTGAACGGAGGATTTCAGCTTCCAGCACCATCCCTTCTTTTGTCTGGTTTATGTTTTATATTTTATTACCAAGTTACCTTTATTAATCTTCCTTTGGGAATTTTGATGATGTTCTTGCTAACAGCGTCACAGAGATTCAATGACTTTTTGCTTTTTTGCACAGATACTGTAATTTGTTAACCTGAGGTTACCAGAGATACTGGTCAGTAGAAACTGGGGTTCTGCCTTCCCTTTCATATTCTCCTTTTCCATGGGCCCACAGAGAGAGATATTTCATGCTCCCTTACCATACACATGTTTTGAGAATAATGTTTGGAGCCTGCTTTTGCCTCGGGGGTCTTTCTGGTTTCTCTGTCATCCAGCAAGATCTTCAAGACAGACAGTTTCTTAGAGCAGAAAAGTAATGATAACATGGTCTGAAGGGGAAGGGACAGCAAAATCAGTGTAATATGAGTTAGTAATATGACAGTAACATGAACACCTGTATTTCCTCTGCAGGTGATAGGCAAGTAAAGCCTCTCTATCTGTAATTTAAGTCATAGGGATGGATTCTCAGCTGCCATAATTTGGCACTGATCCAGGGAAGTTAGTTACACTCAACAAGTTCACTCTAGCTGAAATATATGGCTATAAATACATGATGGGGGCTGCAAAATACACATATACATGTATATTTTGGACAGTAGTAACTGCTTATTGACTGATTTTGCAGGACAAGATTTTTGTAATAGGCTTTCAGTTTAGTTAACAACAAGGGGAGAAATATATAAGGAGAAAAGTTTCTCTGTGAGACTTCACTGCCATCGTGTTGGGGATCCACGTGCAAATTATTTTACCTCTTCTGTTACATGGAGTTTTAATGCTCCTGTCCTTCACATGACCAGAATGGCTCTCATTTTGAGGGTATCTTAATTCAGGGGTTTTTGATCCAGTATACCAGCAGTGCAGAAATGCTAGACAGCTTAAGATAGAGAATATCAATAGCTAAACTAAACTACTGTGATTTCTGAATTTGCGTGTCTATTAATTAAATTAATCACATGCCTGTTTTCTTGGTTCCTTTTCTCTACTGTAGCAAAAAGGAAAGGACCGTTGATGAATTTTCAACGACAGCATCCACGTTACCCTAGCACACAGTGGTCGGACCTATCTCTGAGCTGTGTTGCTCTTTCTGTTACACTGTAGAGTTGAGGGGTGTTGCATCCCCTGGTGCCTTGTGCTCCTGTGGAGTTGCTCAGTCATTCCTCCCCAGAAAATGGTAGGGAAGTGTCTCTTTCAGGCTGGGCATACGGAGTAGGGACACTGAGTGGAGAGCCGGGTGGTGTGAATAGGCATGGGAAGGCAATTGCTTCCCAGTAAAGCAGACCTTACCTTCTGAGCTGCTTGCATCTGCTGTGGTCTCTGCAAGATGCGGGACTGGGCTGCAGGCTGTAATTTGTCTTGCGGTGTAGTCCAGCGTATTTGTGGCCAACACTTGTGCATCATCATCATCATCCACTTCTATAGCGCACTGCTCCATCCAAAACTTCCATTCCCACTTGTTAGCTTCCTTGGAGGACCTACTGGCAGACGCCTTATCTTCTATGTGTTGAGTAAACTTCTGAGAAACCTCCTTCCTTCAGAGGAAGGATGTAGACTGCGTGCCCTGTTCTCATGGGACTCCTTGGAGACCAACCTCTATGTGCTAAAATTCTTGTAGTTATTAAAGGATTTCTCAGCAGGAGGTTGCCTGTTTCTCTTTCCTCTGGTACAACTTGGAAAGGCAACTCTGAACTCCCTTACTTGGAAGCCGGGGAAACCCAAGACAAAGATCAAAATTACTTCAGGTCTTGTGATCAGGAAGGGATAATTTAAGTTGGTGGATGGATGAGGGCAGGATTCATGTGATTATTTTTTTTTTTTACTTTATTTTTTTTCACTTCACAGACATTATCTTGTACCTGTGTCCAGTCAGTTAAACCTTAATCTGAGGATTTGTTTGAACTCAAGATTCACTTTTGACATTTTGCCTAGTAGTCTCACACCCCAAATTCATACAGTAGTGCACAATACTAATAATGGAGAAGAAAAAGAAATACTGTGACGGAGGAAGTCTAGTCAACCAAACAGGTAAACATTGGGACCCCAGTTCACCTTACCCTTATTTCAGGGTCCTAAAAATTAAGAGCTTAGTGTATGTTAGTCATGCAGACTTTATCAGTAGTTGACAGAAATGGAAATTTTCAGAGTACAGTTCCCCCCTCAAGTGAGCTGAAATGAAGGTTTTAATTCTTAAGGAAGAAAAATTGTTCTCAAAGTTAGATGTGTGCCTAACTACCTTGCAAAACCACAGGTTGTAATAATGAAAATATAGGGATGCAGTTTTTGTAACTGAGTAGTTGTCCCGTTCTTTATTTTGACACAAAGCACCTTTTTCTGCAAACAAAATACGGAAAGCTTTTTGCATGTGCAAAACATGGCAAAGAGGAAGGTACACACTCATGCAGGGAAGCAATGACTGAGTTACAAGTTGGTCATCAAATACGCACAATTAGAGGAAGCAGAACTTAGTGCAATGTCAAAAGCTTTTCATTTGCTCCGTTCCTGCCATTATATCTTTAAGACTGAGAGAGAAGTCCCAGTGGAGCCTTTTGACATGGTTTGATGGCAATGTTCGATTGAACGGTTGCACCATGATGGAAGTTTGAGTGCTCACTGCCATGGAGTTGGAACAGAACACCCACCTGCTGCTGCTAGGGGTGATTTTGAAAGACAAAACCCCTTCAGGATGTTAAATCTTTTTGCTAGTAAAATGCTCATTCTGCTGTACTTTGTAATATGAGAAAAAGCAAAAACCTTAGAGCAAAAGCCCTGCTTTACTTCTCTTTCTGACTTTCTGTACTATAGTTACATTTCTAATCAATCACCGTCCTTCTGAATAATAATTATAATGTTGATCCCTGAGGCAGTCTCTGCATCTTGTTAACATACCTGCTTATACTGTGGCTATTCCTGACTTGTTTGAAATATTTGGATCAAATGAAGTCTCATTTATTCCTTTAATTGGTCCTGATTTTCCCAACTTAGTTTTCAACATATTTTAAACTTCTGAATCCGGCATGTGTGACCGAAGTTCGTTGTCCTTCCCCTGACTCTTTGGATTGCCTAACTTTAGCAGGTGTGCCCTCATCTTTGGCTTTCCTAGTGGCAGGTATTACAGTAATACTCCCCCAGGTATTTTTCTGAACTTTGTCTTCAGAAGTAGAAGATGAAGGTTCAGGATAACGTGATAGCATATGATGAAAAATAAATGTTATACTTGAAAAAGTGTAGCCCACAAATTTTATTGTTGCTTTTAGTTATCTGTCATTTTACTGTGCTTTTGTGGCAATAATACAGTGCTGAAAGACTCAGGCTCAGTGAAGTCTTGTGCATTATTATGTTGAGTAGTTCTTGCGTAGTGATATTATTAGTCACTGTTGTAAATTAAAGGCACACAGTGGAATGTAATGTCCAAATTAGTACTTTTATTAGGGAGGGAGGGAAACTCAACCATAAATTTAAGATAAGTGGTATGGCCTGTAGAGGACTTTATACTTTTACGTTATCTGCCAATTAAGGCATGTAAACAGTTTGTAAAAGAGCCTCGCAGTTTAGCAAATCTTCTGAGTTGCTTTTATATGGTAGATATTTCTTGTGGGTTAAATTTTTATATTTGATAGTGCTCACTTATGTCCAGAGCTTTGCAAACAGTATTTTTTGTTGAGAATATTAATCAGGTCTGGCTAATTGTTGTGATTTGTTAACTTACAAAAGATTGACATAATTTCTTAAAATGTGTCTAAAGTTACAGGTAATTTAATTGTCGTTCTGTAAAATATAAAATGTTCTGTAGGCCTTTCTTCTGTATGGAGAAACTGTCAAGTTGTTGGTGGGAGATGTATCATAAGCTGAATTGAACTGTGGTCCCCAAAATAGTAATTTCATTCATTGTGTCTGACTATTGAAGACTTTATATTACTGCTCACCCTGAAATTAGACCAAGCTATGGTGTGGAGCTGTGTAACCTTGATCATAAAACTGAGAAGCTCTTCAAACTGGGGCACTTGAATCGCTGCATGAAGCTTCTGCAGTCCTACTGAACTTTCCCAGCAGTGACCCAAAGCCTTTCCCCTGGAACCACTACCCAGCTCTGCTTCTGCAGCGTCACTGACCCCTGCTCTGCTGGTTTGGTTCACAATGGGGAGAAAAAGGGCTTTTAGGTCTGGGGAAGGTACAATATTGTCCTTGCAATATCCAAAAATAGGGATGCTAACATCACAGAGAATCTCACGTTGCTTCGTGCTAGAGAACTGTGGTTCTGAGCTTTTCAGTTTGTGCAAGAAGCTGATTTGTGATTCTGCCACAAAAGACTATGCTTTGAAGTTAGTTGATTTTTGCTCATACCACAGTAAGGCAAATCTGCTTGTGAACTCTAGATTAACACAACTTGCAGCTGTCTGATAAAAGCTTCTAAAAGTTGTATCAGGTAATGGAAGCTCCATTTATTCCTTAGTCACTCTGCATGCAGCTCGTTCTGACCTGAGCTGCCTGCCCTAATCAGGGGAATACCCTAGCTGCATCCTTTCTTACTCATATATTATCCTTTAAGATACCGTCAATGTCTTGTGTTTTCTTAAAGCTTAATTAAAGACCTTTTGAGTGGCTCAGTAGTTTTTTTTCTTACATTTGCAGTGATAGATCTATGTCACTGGCTATAAAATGTATTTTGGTATTAATTTGGTATTATTCTCAAAACATACAGGAAAAAAATCTTTCAAGTCTTGCTCTTCTTAACTTTCCTGACACTGTCCTCTTCCAGTTCTTCTTCAGCATCCCTTTAGGCAGGTCTTTGTTCCCACTCTGATCTCATTTCCCTCAATGTCTATACTTCTCCCACCTCGTT